GCCCACGGATGGCTGTTTCAAACCCTGGCACTTACTTATTGAGATTCTCCAGAGCAGCTGCCAGATGTTTAGAGTCAAACCGACAAGAATAATTTAATTCATTGGCAATCTGTTGTCTCAGAATCTGCATCTGTCCAACCTGTGCACAAGCAAGAGAGAACAAGTAGTGCATTCAAGCATTTTGGAGTGACAGTGAGGAGGTAAACACAAAGACGACAATTCTTCACTAGGCCTTCACAACACTCCACAGGAAAAAAAATAAGGATTTCCTGAACTGATCTAAGACCAGAACTGGACCTAATGGAGCACCAGAGGCCCTTCAAGGAATGTCTGGATGGACTCCCATACCCCAACCTAAAAGCACCCCAAAGTCTATGATTCACAGAGTGGTCTATTAATGTTCAGTTGTTCATGTATCAAAGGTATCTTTTTTGACCCTGTATTTTTAACCTTTTGGAATAAGTGCTCCACAGTTAGTAGCTGCTGTGAGAAGTCTTACTTACTTCCTTTTATTTACCCTAAATGGAACTTTCTCAAGTCCTAGGAATGCCATTTCACACTAGTATTCTCAAATTGGGTGAATATTAAGTCTGTCCAGGCCACCCAGGATTATAGGTTCAATAATTATCTGGATTACAAAATAATCTACACAAAATCTATCATGAAAATTTTAACAATGATAGCCCCTTAATCCATGGTTCTTAATTTTTTGTGTGTGTCTAATATGGTTTGGCTGTGTCCGCACCCAAATCTCATCTCAAATCGTAGTTCCCATAATCTCCAAGTGTCGTGGGAGCGACCCAGTGGAAGGTAATTGAATTATGGGGGTGGTTGCCTCCACACTGTTCTCGTAATCGTGGGTGAGTTCTCACAAGATCTGATGGTTTTACAAGGGACTTTTCTCCTTTTGCTTATACTTCTCTTTCCTGTTGCCATAAGGACATGTTCGCTTCCACTTCCACCACGGTTGTAAGTTTCCTGAGGCCTCTACAGCCATGCTGAACTGTGAGTCAATTAAACTTCTTTCCTTTATAAATTACCCAGTCTTGAGTATGTCTTTATTATGTGAGAATTGACTAATACAGCCTTGGATCCCTTTGGGAATCTCGTGAAGCCTATGGATACCATTTCAGAATAATGTTTTTGAATGTACAAAACAAAACATAGAGGGGAACAGTGGAAGCCAGTTGTAATGAAATATAATTAACCATTCAAAGAACAATCTGTGATACAGAGTTATGCTAGGATGGTGGATTAACTATGGTAATTTAAAGTAGCTATGAGCATAAACGATATTTGGAGATTATCTACAATGGTTGGATGATAGGAAGTGATCTTTGGGTCAGGCTTGAGAGAGAGCAGTTTGCCCCCATAATGTTGTCTGCATCAGAAGGTCAATAGCATATTCTAACTTTTTCTGCCTATGTCTTCTTTTCTACTCTAGACAAAGTATTCCTAAAAGACTGGCAAAGGGGAGTGAGGGAGGTGGGGATAGGAGAGAAGCCAGTATTATAATACAAGCAGCAATAAGGTGGAAATCAACACATTTCCTCTGAGTTGCTGGGTGCAGAGAAGAGTTAAGGAAAAGACAGTGGCTCACGCCTGCAATCCCAGCACTTTGGGAGGCCGAGGCAGGCTGATCGCTTGAGGCTAGAAGTTTGAGACCAAGCCTGGCCAAAATGGTGAAACCCTCTATGAAAAACAAAAAAATTAGCTGGGTGTGGTGGTGGACACCTGTAATCCCAGCTGCTTGGGAGGCTGAGTCACGAGAAACACTTAAACCCAGGAGGTAGAGGTTGCAGTGAGCCAAGATTGCGCCACTGCACTCTAGTCCGGGAGACAGAGCGAGGCTGTCTCAAAAAAAAAAAAAAAAGAAAAAGAAAAAGAGAAAGAGGGTGGCCTTCTCTAAGAGTGAACAAAAGTTACTTGGCTAAATGGAGCTTGTAATGGTCAAAAGTGTTAAATGACCTCAGATGTATTATTTTTGACCACTATTCATTCAAGACTATTATTCTATTTATGTGAAACACGTCAATCCAAAAATGCTATTTATAAATAGTAAGTCTTTTAATTTATAGAGTAGCATTATTTAAAAATTAGAATGCAACAAAGCCAAGAAAATAGTAGGTTCTTTCAGGCCATGTAAAAATGTCCCTGAAACCCTGTATCTGGCCCATATAATTCTTTACGTAATTTTCTATGTCTAGTATACTGTGTGCCAAGGATCCTCTTGAAAATATCAATCTAGAACTGGAAAAAGAAACAAAGTCAGTTTATTTCTATAAATAGTTTATTGCTCTCGTTTAATGCACAATGAGTGTTTGTTAGTGCTGTTTTCTGTTTTTGGTACTCACGCACTTCAAGCTTGAATAAGCTGCTGGAGAGGCTAAGGAGCCTGGGACGGATGAGAAACTTATTCTACCTACTCATTTGCCTCTTTGGAGCTATCCAGCTTATCATTCTTTCTCCAAGATTTTTCTAGCATTGCACTGTTGAGTACAGCAGCTACTAGCCACGTGTGGCTATTTACATTTAAATTAATATGAAATAAAATTAAAAATTGCGTTTCACTGTCCCACAACCCACATTTCACGAGCTCAACAGCTACAAAGGACTAGGAGCTGCTGTCATCATCGAATAGCACAGAACATTTCCATTGTTGTTCCAGATCATTAACACTGGCTCAGTGACTGTAAGCACCCTAATTCAAGACCAAAAGACACATTTGTCCTTGGGGGCTTTATTTAAAGATCACTGACTCAGACACAGTCATGTGGCTGTTACCAAATTACTGGCAACTATAACCAATAAGGGTCTGTAATAGCTACTGGACTGAGAACCCTCCGGTGGGCAAGGGGAAAACCTTCCAGTTTCTTGGAAGAATCCCTGTAATCCCCCTAACGCCTCCTACAGAGTTGGGATTCACACCTGTCCAAACTCGGGTGATTTTTTAATCCTCCTAAAAGGTTTTCCAGCAATTAGAAACTTGGCCTGGGAAGTGCTTAATATCTGACAATCATGTGGCTAGGGGAAGGCAGACCCACATCACGACAGGACATCTAGCAGAGCCACAGGCTCCTTGCCTTACCCGTTCTGTTTAGTGATCCAAACAACAACAACAACAACAACAACAAAAAACAACTACTACTACTACTGGTCACCAAAATTATGGGAAATATACTGTGAATTTGACTGAGATATTAAGGAGTGCTGTCTCAATGAGAAACTTATATAATTGGGAGTCAGAGAATGGAACTTTTCAAAATTCCCTTAGCATTCTAGAATTCTAGACTTTTCTACGGTATGTGATACTTTTAACCACAAATCATAGTTTTCCACCAGGAAGTCTACTCTTTCCTACTAGATTGTGAGCTGGCTTTCTGAGGAGACCGGTCATGTTTCATTTTGCTCTGTCTCTCACAGCAACTGACAATGGCCCTAGGTATAATGGGTGTGTGAGAACGGGCCGTTGATGATCTCAGATTATCAGAGGACGAAAGAAGACTCGCAGAAGACACAGGGGTCCCTGGGTGCTCCCGCTGCTGAGTCAAGGCAGGAAAGTAGGCAGCTGGATTATAAAATAAAGTAGACTTCCATCCAGCAAATTAATCTCTTCATTTGTCTTTCTTATTCATTTCCAAAGTAAAAGCGCTTTATGCATAGTACAAGGATAATTTATGCCCCAAAGAACCTGGCTCCCTAACGTGTATTCAGACACAAGAGGGGAGAGAGACAATGTTCTGTTCTAACAGCAGCTTGGAGCAGATGAGGTGTGTATAAATGAACTTTGTTATGTAAGAAGGGAGTATTACTGTGCAAGGGAAAGTTCCATTTTCATATATAAAAGCACCTCTACCCAAAAGGCATTTTACAAAGAGCCAGTTTTCTTGAACAAAAGGGAAACACTAGGCTCCTAAAAAGCCTAGTCAAGAACAGATTCAGAAAGGGAGATAAACAAAATGAATTTTAAAATGATAAACTGAAGTATTAAAATATTTTTGATTTAATGACAAAAGAAAGAAGAGTAGCTTTCTTTGGGCAACAAAGTTACAAGAAAACGAAAAATTAAAAAATGTAAGTATTGGCTGTCACCCTCTCTCCTACAACATACCTTCATTATAGCCTCGAGATACGCAGTCCAAATCTTCTGTGTTTTGGCAATGGCGGAAAAATAAATTTTATTTGAATTCGCTGAAAAGTTAAAACACAATTTTCTCTTTAGTACATTCGTAAAGGCTACTGTGTCATCCCCACCTCAGGCTAGTTTCAGGACACTCACCTACAATACTTTTTAGGGGACTGACAGCATTCATGAGGGTTTTTAAAGTGTCCTGAACAGTTCTGTCTCTCAGGATAATTTTCTGAAACATACTGAGGAAATTCTGAAAACAAGAAGGCATGGTCAAAGAACCAAACATGATGAATTAAACAAGCAAGTACTCCAGTTACCTAAAATGCTACGCAGAACAGAGACTGGGCCTAAGTCACACAAAACCTCTAAATAGGATGACTGCAAAAAGAAGCAACTTCAGGTTCCTATTAGAAACACCCCTTGCTAGGAAAACTCACTGGTTTCAAGGATTAAAAAACCTTATCTTCCCAAGTTGAAACTCACAAAAACAGTCTAATCCTAAAAGTACTATGCTGGCCAAATAAATTCTAGTTTATCTCCAGCTCCTATCTACCCAGTAGGTATCATATGCCTAAAGTCAGTGTAAGAAATCATGGAAGAAAGGTTAAGTGAGTTCAAACTGCCCAAGATACGTTCTTGCCTCTCCCCCAGGGTGGCAGAAAACAGGCATGAAAGTCAAAAGGCTCACCTGTAACTCTTTTACAATCATAAAGCACAGAAGCCTGTCTAAGCCATTTAGACCAAAGGTCCCCAAGGTGGTCTGGATTTCTGAGAAGAGGCGGCTGCTGGTCACTTCCTGATGAGTTTTCATATCATACCAAGTGTTCAGCTGGTCTATGTGACATGTCATTCTAAAATGAAAATAACGCAAAGACCCCAGAACGGCTCAGAATTCATCCTTAAAGAGATGTTAGGACTCAATAGGACATGCAGCACCAAATATGAAGAACAGAGTTACATGATCTGTGTTTTCTAACTCTGTATTCAGGCACCCAAGGCATCTTCCCAGTGACCACCCAACGGAGCAGGAAGGTGAAATTTGGTCTGACCCCCTTTTTCTGCCCTGTGCCATATCATTGGTTTCAGTCATCTATTTCCATTGAGTTAGGCTGCTGACTTGGAATCAGGCTGAGAAGACAAGGTTAGGTTCAGCTGTCAGGCTGGAAGACTTCAGAGCCCACTTGTCTCTCTATGCAGCCTTCATTTAAATTTCCAGTTTGGAGACAAAACAAGGCCTTGTGTCATTTCCATTTGGTAAAAAAGGAACTTAGAATCTCCACACGCTACCTAACATTTGAGACTATGACGACAAAGCAATTTGCTTTTTCCTCTCAGTTCCTTAAACTTGTAGATGCCATCTTCTGGTCCTCTCCAAATGATTCTTTTTAGACTCAGAAGTGATTGGCTGTATACAAAGCTATGCAGTCTGCCCTTCACAGTACAGTGCCTAGGAGC